GTGCAACTACTCCCCGAAGTAGGTATCCATGGTGCAACTACTCCCCGAAGTAGGTATCCATGGTGCAACTACTCCCCGAAGTAGGTATCTGTGCAGTGAGGCCGCTCTGATATTATTAAATTAACAAGAGAACAAGGAGGTGAGCGATTTATTACAGCCGGCTTGGTTGCCACGGTAATTTATGTGTTAACAGCCGTATAAACACCATTTGTGCATTTAGGAAAACATTGGGCCTCTCAGAGGGTTTCCATACAAGGACTGGTCAGACGTAGCAAAGCCCTAAGTCTCGTAGTCTGAGCAAAATAATATGATCCAAATGCACCAAATCCTGCGAGGAGCAGATAAGGGCAGCTCTGCTGACTGCTTCATTGTTACAACCACAAGGCCATAAATGGGAATTAGCTGGACTATTTCTAACACACAGAGTTTTATTGGTTTAGAATAATATTTCTTTTAGTGTGTTTGGATGGGGCCGTTAATTAAAGTCACCATTTCTAATACATTTACCAAAAAGCAGATGGGCCTCCTGACATATTTTGGCATTTTTATGTTCCTAAAACAAGTGTGTTGTTATAACTGTAAGGCTCTGGGCGACTTGGCTGATTTTCCCCGAGGCTGGATGCGGACCACAGCTCTGACATAACCTGGGTGTTTCTGTCCTCTCCTCGACAGGGGGAACTGGATCGGGGAGGCGCCCTACCAGGTGGGCGTACCCTGCTCGGCCTGCCCCCCCGCCTATGGGGCGTCCTGCAGCAGTAACCTGTGCTCCCCCGCTGTCAGCTCCAACTACCTGTACTGGTTTCGATAAGCTGCCTTTCACCTGTCCAGATGGCTGGCACCTTGGACCCCCACCCCCCCGTGTAAATAATGTTTCCAAGAAACATTTCTTGTTCAGACCCGCTGACGCTCCAGAATCGCCTAGCAACCCCAGACCTAAGGCTTTCAGCACAGAGTACTTTACAGCGGTTAGTTACATGAGTTTTTTAATGTCACAGACATTTTTTTAATGAAATTAAATGTTCCCATTTTATGCATATTGAATACTGGTATATTTGTGTGTAAATGCAAGATCGAACATTTCTGCACCATACACATTTTCCCGTTTCTATTAAACGTGTCAGTTTCTCATGGTCCATTTCATGATCAAACAAGGTAAAGTGTTTCAGTACTGGCTGAAATTGCTCTTGTACTGTATGGCAGTTTTGATTGCTGAAACTTAAAGAATGCCTAGATGAGGTGAACTTTCAGGCACAGAGTGACGTCTGCCAGCTGTAATATAAGGCTTTGAATGTTGCACTAGGCTTTTATAACCTTAGGAATGTTAATACACGGTTATGGAAGGTGCTATTATCTTTTAATTCATGGATAGCTATATAATATTCCTACATTTAGCGTTCTTTAAAATAAAACATTTAATTAAAATACAAAGAACATGAATTCATGAAGGTTTTAATCCCTATAAGAAGATTCATGTTTGTTTATTGATGAACTGTTTAAGGATGTGATTTGTGTATGTAGGAAAATCTAGTGCACTGGTTTGGTGATTGCAGAGTGTGTAATACTGCCAAGGGAATATTCACGGAAAGGTTTGTTTGGGGATAGTAGGGATTGGGTGGTGGGGGCTGGCTGCGGTTACACGACAGCAGCACTGTCATGTAACCGTGTAACCCTTAAAATAGCTGCCTTGCAGCCATTTAAAAAACAGTCAATAAACGGATCAATTTATGGGCATTTTTATGTACGGAGTCTAGTGCACAGAGCATCCACACTCATGACTCAATGGTTTCATCACAATTAGATTTGCTTTATCTTTGTAATGTTCAGTTTCAGTTGTATGAATGCAGATGAGTTTTTTCTAAAGAAAAAATAATTAAAATTCAAAGTAATTTAAAGAATTAACTTTGATTAGACAGCCATATAGCACGTAATAAGGGGATAAAACTGCTCTTGTCGTGTGGAAGTGGCCGACATGTCTAGTATTGCTGGACAACACTGCCCCCTGGTGACTACTGCCTTACAAGCAAAATAATTTATAATTCATCATAAAATATAATAATCTAATCTGAAAGAGACAAACGGACACATTTTTTGCAGGTCTTTTCCATTTCTGGAAATGCAAAACAACATTTCGGAGTGTTTCTTACCTCTGTCACTACACTTCATTGGAGATAATTAAATTCCCACCACAATTCCGTAATTCAACTTGATTCCTATTTTAAAACATGCATTTACATGTACACTTTATTATCATGAATTATTTGATTTTATTCTTTTTGCTTTGGAAATTTTTACTGTAATTTATGGTTCACAAAAAGCAGATTAACACATTTGAGTATTTATTCATAGAATCCTACCCATGTGGCACTGCACCTTGCACCTTGAAATTTGAACATGCGCATCAAAATTTCATAGCAGAATCTCCTCCAGTAGGGTCAAAGGTCACGAACTGAAATTACGATAATAGCCAACATAAACTGGGCCGTAACCACTGCAGCAGGCTTATTGCTAATGACGTTCAGTTAAAATGTAACATGAAGGTTTTATACTGCATCATCAACAATACCATTTCAGCTTCACACTGGCCATCAATTCAGCCAACGGAGTTTCTATGGGAGCAGAACAGGCATGCCAAAGCTTGCAGACCGTTGTGCCTGACCACTGAGTTTTCAGAAGACGCATCATTAACTCCAACAATCTGCCGATGCTCTGTCAGGTTCAACCTGCCCCAGGACAGCCTCTGTCTCCAGACACAGCCAGCTTTTCTCGTCTGCCTGGAAATGTATTATAAAGTGGATGTCCTGTGTTAGAGGCATCATTAGGATCCAGATTACATCCAGGAATATGCTGTATAATTTCAAGCTTGTGAAGGTTGCTATAGTAGCAATTATTTAGTTGTACCAGAGAAAAAATGAAAAAATTGTGGTCATGGTGCTATTTAATTAGTATTAAATCATTTTACTGGATACAAAGTAGCAATTCTTTAAGCACAATGTTATGCTGCTATTTCACCACCAGAGAGAGCCATGCAACAAAAATGCAACATTTCTTTCACTGGCAGTGAATTTGATGAGTTCTGCAGTAATAAGTGCAGTGTTAATAAGTAAAGTGTTTCTCCTCAGGTAATGAGCCCATGAAATGCAGGTGTTGATAATTAAGCGAAGTAACTATGCTTCATGCATTCTGTTAGACTGCTCTCTCTGTGTTATTTGATGCCTATCCATCGCACATAAACACACAATCAAACAATTCCGGTAAATTACAGATGCAAGTTTGCTGAACTGTATTTGGACTCTGGAAGGGAGTACCTGGAGAAAAGTCACGTGACACAGGGAGGACATGCAAACTTGACACATGAAGAGTGGAGGTTAGGGCTCAGACCTCCAACAACATCACCCACTGAGCCCCCATGCTGCCCCTGTCTGTGTTATTCCTGTCCTAAATGCAACACTCAGCTTGAATTTCAAAGCCTGATTTCAAATTGTGTTTCTGGATGTGTTATTTCAAACGTTTTTTCCAGCTCATGGCGGAAATGATCCCAAAAATGTTTGATGAATGATTTATCATTTGTAACAATGAGTAATAATAAATACTGTCCTTATATTAATAAATGGGTGCTTTTAAGTATAGATTTGGAATTTATCAGTAGAGGGTCCTGATATTGTTAAGCCAGGAAATTGCAAATTAATTTGAATCTTTATAATATGTTGTCTAATGATGACTTGATGTGTAATGTTAATTAAACATTATGATAAATGGATCCTTGGAACCTTGCAGCTGTAATCTGGGTGTCAGGGTTGTGGTCAAAACACAAATCTCTTCATCACCATGGATCATGTGTTTATTCTCTAGTGTGAATTCATCCTTATTAAACGTGCTAATTGTGGACAAGATCAGCAACAGTCAGATTCAGGTTCAGTAGATTGAAATAAACCATGTGTTCATTCTGTTTGAGATCAGTATGACTCATGTGTTCAGTCTGGAGCAGAATCACATTGTGTTCATTCTGTTTGAGATCAGTATGAATCATGTGTTCAGTCTGGAGCAGAATCACATTGTGTTCATTCTGTTTGAGTTCAGTATAAACCATGTGTTCAGGCTACATTATGGCTGCTTGAATCACGGTTTCCATGTTAAGCTGGACTGCATGAATGTCCCACTTTGCAATAAATTGGCACGGATCCTGTTCATTATGCAGGTTGTCTGTATTAATTACTTGTTTAGGTGGAAGCGGGTCACTATGAATTTGGCCCGTCTGCAGCGTGAACCACGTTCATTATACAGCAGAACTGTATGAATAATTTCCAAAACGAGTAAAAATTTCTGTCATTGCTTTCATGAATCACATGTGTGCACTTTTAAAAATAAAATAGCTGCGTGAGTCAGTGTGTGTACACTGATGTCTCATGCTCTCATCTATCAGTACGGAAAACTAATTATAGTCAGTAAATTATCAATAGAAGAATAAAGACACAGTAACAAGATGATGTTTAAAGCATCACAGTGCTGGGGAGGCTGGTGAATACATTACACATAAACAGTGTTTATGGAAATGGTTTAGGGGAGAAACGTCCAAAAATACGCAGCCAGCTCCTGGCTGCATAAATAGATTTGTTCCTTTTTAAACTATTCTTCAAACATCTGTCTTAGTAATTATTTAGCTTATTTCAGCTGATACTTCTTCTGAGCTGGTAGTAAGTACAGGTTTTGTGCTTTACAGTAGTTACATAAAGGTTAAACTCTGGTATTTTTGAAACACATTAAAGTTATATGTAGAGCACCAGTGGTCAGTGAATGGATTTGAGTTGTGTGGTCACAGCCCTTGGGATGCTGGGGCTTGTGACAGCTACCAGTGGTCAGTGAATGGATTTGAGTTGTGTGGTCACAGCCCTTGGGACAGCTACCACGCTGACTGCTGGTTTGGCTTTTGGTTGTGGTTCAGGCACATTTGCCAGCAAAACATCAAAATCCCGATTCATGGAGCTCACCGCTTCTGTAACGTTTACCTATGAGATAGGTGAAACCTTTCAGCAGTTTGTACAAAGATGCCTTTTTTGGCCGCTCGGTAACTCGGAAGGTTGCTGGTTCAAATCCCGTGGCTGGCAGAGTGATGTCATTAACGGGCCCTTGAGCAAGACCCTTGACCTCGATTGCTCCAAGGTACTGGCCGGTCCTGCTCTCTCATACTCACGTCATAGTACTGTAACTGAAATGTATTTTTGGACATTCCTGTCCATACAACTCTTATCCATTTGTACAGGTTTTTAAAACAATTTTTAAACTATATTTTTCATATTTTTTTTCTGAATGGCTGCTATGTGTCCCTGTCTTATGATAATGTCTCAGTATGTTGTGTTTAAATTGTCAGATTGTCAATGTTAAGTCTTTCATATTTATATTTTCATTCTATTCATTATTGTTTTCTTGCACTATGACCAAAGAAAATCGAAATTTCATCTCTGCATGTGACACGTGGACTATATAGTTGAAGGCGACCAATGAAGTTACTTCGACTTTGACTTGACTTATACTTTGCTTTGGACAAAAGGGTCTGCCGAATAAGTAAATGTCAATTTAAGATGCACAGAAAAAGTCATGGCGAGAATAAACAAGCAGACAGTGAAGCTTTCTGGGGGGCTGAAGTCCCTCTGGTGATAAAGTCTGTGACACAAAGGATTTTTCTGTTAGAAAGCAGGTATCAGAAAGCAGGTATCAGAAAGCGGGTATCAGAAAGCAGGTATCAGAAAGCGGGTATCAGAAAGCA